AGTCCCATTACTGGTTTCTCTGCCTCCCTTCTTGCCCCTTTAATCCATTTTCCACTGGACAGCCTGATTCATCCTTCTGAAATGCAAATCTGATCATGTCCTTATTCCCCAGTGTCCTTAGAATAACTACCTAAACTCCTTAGCCATCATACAAAGACCCTTATAATCTAATTTCTGCTCTCAGCTACAGCCTCTTGCAATTTCTCTTCTTCTGGATCCTTCCAGGGGCCAAATATTTGCTAACTGAATGAAGGAATGCTTGTAGCACTTTAACACATGATTAATCTGAGAAACATCTGGGCATTAGCTGTCTTACATTAACATTTTCCATGAGTGAGAGAAAAATCCTCTCTATGTGACATCTACCATCACACTTCATTTAATGGATGTTCAGCTCCTTTAAAAAAATGCTGTTTTTGCTTCCAGAATGATCTACTTCCTTTCTTCTGCTATTACCTTGTTTCCACAATGCTATATGCCTGGTCACATTTAGGGAAAAAAAAAAAAAATTCCCTGAACTCTTTTGAATGCCTAAGCTCTTCAGGAGAAATATTTGTCCTCAGGACTTCTTGACCAGGGGGAGAAAATGAATATGTGTTAATTGTTTTATTATAATACTACAGAGCCTTAACTTTGTATACAGGATAATGTGCATGGACCACAGCCAGACGGGCCAGCCTTAGCTATTGCTCACACATATGGGAATATAGATCTTACTCAGGGCCTACTGTCATTGTGGAATTGTTTTACATTCTACATGGACCATTTTAGAAGGAAATGGGTATCGGACCATTTTTTATCATATATTACTTTGGGAGAGATTAGAAATTCAAGAAGAATAGACTGTTTATAGCTTTTTGTAGGATAAACATGAATGTTTTCTTAATAAATTCAAACAGTACACAGGCATGCAACATAAATTTGGTTTGAACAGGCATTTGTCTCCTCTAACATAATTTGGTGTGATTAGCTTTTTTAAGAGAAATCATGTAGAAGAGTTTGATTTACTTTTTTTTTTCTATCAAGCTTAAGAAGGTGGCTCTCACATACCTGATGATTTTACCGTCGGCTCTTTTGCAGTCATTAGGAACTGGAAACCATTTGCAGTGGGAAAACATGAATCAGAACAAGATTTTATTCTCAATTTGCCATCTTTATAGACTTGCTCAGTCTGCAAAGCAAAACTACAATTATTCATTTATATATGCAATAATTCTATCACTGTTCTCCCTAAATATAGGAATTCTTCTCAACTTTATTTTTTTTTTAAGATTTTATTTATTTGACAGAGAGAGACACAGCGAGAGAGGGAACACTAGCAGGGAGAGTGGGAGAGGGAGAAGCAGGCTTCCCGCTAAGGGGCTCGATCCCAGCTGCCAGGCATCTTCCTGACGGAATTATGACCTGAGCCGAAGGCAGACGCTTGACGACTGAGCCACCCAGGCGCCCCTCAACTTTAACTTTTAAAACATCAGCAATAAATCCAGAAACCTTAAAGGCAGAGACTGTTTTTTATTACCTACAAACTTAAAACTTTTACATGGCAAAAAAAAACAAAAGGCATACACAGCATTAAAAAATAAATTGCAGACAAGCAAACGCAACCTAGATGATGGGCTGAAAAATGTGTGAAAGAAAACAAATTTACACAAGATGAAATGCAAACTTTAAAAGAGATCTTTTATGTATGTTAGGTAAATACATATTAAAAAAGGATTGATAATATATAGTGTTTGAGTGGGTGTGGAGAGATGGCTGTTCTCATGTGCTGCTGTGAGAACAAATTACTACAATCTTTCAGGACAATAATTTGGCAACATGTGCCTATAGCCTAAATGTGACCCATTTGATCTTTCACTTCTAGGAATAAATATTAATGAAACTGCCAGACAGATTCACAGAAATATATTTACAAGGATTGCATCCAAGTATTTTACAAGTGCATCCAAGTATTATCAATAATAATAAAACGTTGGAGGGGCACCTGGGTGGCTCAGTTGTTACGCATCTGCCTTCGGCTCAGGTCATGATCCCAGCGTCCTGGGATCGAGTCCCGCATCAGGCTCCCTGCTCCGCAGGAAGCCTGCTTCTCTCTCTCCCGCTCCCCCTGCTTGTGTTTCCTCTCTCGCTGTGTCTCTCCCTGTCAAATAAATAAATAAAATCTTTAAAATAATAATAATAATAAAATGTTGGAAACCATTTAAATGCTGACTGAATTCCTTGTGTTATACCTGTATAATGAATTATGTTGCCATTCCAAATAAAGGTGAGAGCTGTATTTATTATAATGGAAATATATTCAGAACACTATAAAACAAGATGTAAACTGACCCCCTTGTTCAGTGTCTAACGATAGATATGTCAATATGTTTGTATAGGCATTTTGACATTGGGGGTAATATCCACCAAATGTGAGATGCGGTTTCCATTAGATGATAGAATTACGGTTAGTTTTTCTATAATCTGTTTACCCTCTTATAATTTCTAATTTTTTACAGCAAGAATATTTTGTTATTTGTGCAGGAAAAAATGTAACATTATTTCCATTTTGGAGAAAGTGAATAAGTATCAGCGGCTTTGTTGGTTGTTCCCATTTCTCTGAGTGGCTCTACTGTACTCTGTTTTCTTAGCTCATCCATTTCTCACTCCCCTTAGTACACATGTTGCCCCTTAATTTTATTCTCATGCAAATTTTGGTTTCATTTTCGTTCCATGTTGTTCTCTTGGAGAGAGTGGCTTCATTCTTGATTTCCCCTGTCCCTGGATCTTCCTCCCCCACCCCCAAATAATCTGCCACATTTTGTCCATTGTCTTCAAATGTGGCTCTCAAAACAGCTTGACTTCCAGATCCTCGTCATGGTCATCTTAACCTGTCAGTATCCCCTACCCAGATCTATGGAGTCGCCTATCATCAGAGCTCCCGAAGGAAAGCTGCCAGGCATCTTCCTGAAAACTAAATGTGATAATAATAAAAAATAAATAAATAAAATTTAACAGAAATAAAAAGAGTAATTGCTTTTGAAAAAAATATGACTGTCATCCCGTTGCATGTAATAACTTGTGGGACTATATGGGAACCCTTTATGGTTTGTTTGTTTTTTTTAAGATTTTATTTATTTATTTATTTGACAGAGAGAGACAGCGAGAGAGGGAACACAAACAGGGGGAGTGGGAGAGGGAGAAGCAGGCTTCCCGCCGAGCAGGGAGCCTGATGCAGGGCTCGATCCCAGGACCCCAGGATCATGACCTGAGCCGAAGACAGACGCTTAATGACTGAGCCACCCAGGCACCCCAGGAACCCTTTATGTTGACATGAAAAGACCTTCAGAGTCAGACCCTCTTCCTGTTCACCCCTCCCTCTCTCAGCCACTCAGCTTCTGAGCATTCCTAGAATGGAATGTTCCTCTCATGTTTCTCTGCGTTTTTGTACACTCTCCTTTCTTCCTGTGCTTCTCCCCCTTCTAAAAACCTCTCCAACACCCAGTGCCAATTTTATTTCCTCTGGGCAGCCCCTCCTGATTCCTCTAAGGGGAGGATAAGGCCTCCTTTTTTGTACATCCTTACTGTATTGCACTGAAATACTTCTGATGAAGTACTGGCCTCCCCCAATCCCCCACCCCGGCTAAGGCAGGGGGCTACTTAAACACAAAGGCTGCTTTCCAGCCATGCTGTATTCTGGCTCATGACTCACTCTCTCTCTCAAGTGTTCATTGCACATACGCCAAATACACTTCCCCCCCGTGACCTGTGCTTTTGCTTATTTGGGCAATGTTTTGTTTTTAGTCGTTTGATTTCCTGACCTTTCAAGACTGAACAAGAATTCTGATCCTTTCTGTGTTCTTCCCCTTTTTAGGCTTCAGACGATGAGTCTTACATCAGTGACGTGAGTGATAATATATCTGAAGACAACACCAGTGTTGCAGACAACATTTCTCGGCAAAGTATGCATCCTTTGAGCTCCCAGCTTGCTCTGTCTTCTTGCCAAGTTAGAACGCTGGTGATTCAGTGAACAACTATTTTCTCCCCTCACTGATTGTTCCTTTTGCAGCCGATCATTCAGTACATTTTATATTTGTATAATCTGTTAAGGTAAATGGTTGAAAAATCCGTTAGGGAGAAGCTTAAATGAAAAAGTTTTACTTCTTGCTTAAACCAGAAGTTTGAGTCTTTCTTAATAAATGTATTTAATTTTTAAAAATTTGACTTATCTTTTCTGGAATAATATTTGAGCATATGTAATACCTTGTTAAAAAAAAACTGTACATTGATGTTTTGTGCATGTATAAGCAACCGTGTGTTGAAATAATTCCACTCTTGAGAGAGTATAATGGAGGCTTAAGAAATGTATCACAACCAGAAGTATTTGAAAGAATTATTTTCTTCCCAGATGCTATGAAATCAAAAAAGCGAAGTATCTTTTATCGTGCTTCTTGTCTTTGTCTCCCTTCCAGTCTTGAATGGGGAGCTCACAGGAGGAGCCTTCCGAAATGGCCGTCGAACGTGCCTGCCAGCCCCCTGCCCCGACACCAGTAACATTAACCTGTGGAATATCTTGAGGAACAACATTGGTAAAGACTTGTCTAAAGTCTCTATGCCTGTGGAGCTAAATGAGCCACTCAACACCCTGCAGCATCTCTGTGAGGAAATCGAATACAGTGAGCTTCTGGACAAGGCTTCAGAAACTGACGACCCCTACGAGCGCATGGTAATCCATAACAGAGCAGTACCTTTCGGGGAGTTGTCAACCCTAGACGTGGACTAAGGCACAATTCATTAGGATGGCATATTTGGTTTCTGCATAACATTTCCACTGCATGGGTGAAGGAGGAAACAGTTCATTTGCACAAATTGAGCAGGGCCCCAAAATTTCCAGATACCTCCATAGGCAATATGTGCTTTGTGACCGATCTTCGGTCATGAGTATTTCTGAAGTTAGAATGTAAAGGTATCACACTCCTTCCAGGTTTAAGGCATGCCTAGCCTTGCCCTAGCAGCTTTTCTTGAAAGCCAAGAGAGCCCATGTGTTCAAGAACTTGGGTCAGAGAAAGGAACCTCCTGTTTGTGCTTTGCCCTGGCCTCTACTCCACACGACTGTGGAAAACTTGACTGCCCTCCCGAAAGTACCAGCAGCCACAAGCCTCCTGCTCATGGTGCTAAGTTGTGCAAAGGACTAACCTATAAACTGGGTTTCAGAACCTCTGAGCTCTGTGATACTCGGGAAACTGGGTGACAGCTGAATGAAGAATATTTGGCCTCAGATGCAAGGACTTTTGCATCTTTTTCACTCATTTTTTAACCCATGAGTTTATGAAGAGTCTGTGCAGGTAATAGAAAAAGCAAACACCGTCAAATCAGCACCCATGGACAGGGGTGTGTAAAATCTCAAGAAATAAGGGACAAACAGACCTGGAAGTAGTCTCTCCTATATTATTTTCCTTTCTTAAATGTTTTAACAGGTTCTTATTGCTGCATTTGCAGTTTCAGGATATTGCTCCACCTATTTCAGAGCAGGAAGTAAGCCATTCAACCCTGTCCTTGGGGAGACTTACGAATGCATTAGAGAGGACAAGGGATTCAGATTTTTCTCAGAACAGGTAGGTCCCATCGGACACACGGAGGTTTCTATGCAGACACTGTAAGAGGACAGGTTGATGATGAAACAGCTTTTTGATAAACTACTGTTTGCAGTGGGATATGATACCAGTTAACAGAAAACTCTGTTAATATATATAAGTTCTCTGAGTTTAAGCATGAAGTCTTAAAGTGGAAGATTCTGAGAATAATTCAATAATAGAGATGGATGTGTTGACTAGTTTATATTTGGGGGTAGCCAGTGTATGTTGGAAAAAAATGATCATTTATGGAAGCTTTAACTCTGATGTCATTGCCTTCTCTTTTGTTTTAATTACCAGGTTAGCCATCATCCACCCATTTCTGCCTGTCACTGTGAATCCAAGAATTTTGTGTTTTGGCAAGGTTTGTATTTCAATTATAACTTCAAAATCCAATTGGCGAGCCTATGAAACAGTTTCTAGTTTCTAAAGGAACATTATGCTCAGGTTAGATTTTTACCTTTGGGACTCAGAGAATGTTAGTAATTGGTGTGGAATTCAGTTTGAGAAATTAGATTTCCTGGTTTAAATATGAAACCGTGTCATCCAGGAGATGAGATTGTATACCTAGGAAACAAAGCCCTGGGGACAGCCGAGCTCTGTGCCAACTGTGTCAGCTCAGGGCTATCATTTTACCTCATTATGCCTCATTGACTGCATCTATAACATGGAGGTTCTATCTGCTGCCTTCTTGCTTCTTGAGGGTGTGCAAGGAGATCTTAATCGTGAAAGAAGATTCTGTGACACATCATCTGTGGTCACAGTCTATTTAGATATGTAAACATTGTGCTGATTTGTGGTCTTTAACTCACTGAGGCTCAGGGATTCGGATTGAAGTCTCTACTTGTATGATGCCTATTGTTTAGTCAGAATGTTACAAACTCACATAAAATTACAAGTTTCAAAATCCCTTTAGAAAGAAAAATATATACAGTTGACTCTTGAACAAAACTGGGGTTAGGGTACTGACCCCCACACAGTCTAAAATTCATGTGTTACTTATGACTCCCCAAAAACTTAACTAGTAATAGCCTACCATTGACCAGAAGCCTTACCAATAAAGTGTAAACCATCAGTGAACACGTATTTTGTATGTTATATGTATTATATGTTATATTCTAATAGTAAGCTAGAGAAAAGAAAATGTTATTAAGAAAATCATAAGGAAGAGAGAATACATTTATAGTACTCTACCTCATTTATCAAAAAAAATCTGCCTATGAGTGAACCCATGCAGTTCCAACCCGTGTTGCTCAAGGGTCAACCGTGTATGTCCATTTAACCATTAAGTATAAATTGTTCCTTCATGTTTGGAAGGGGGCTTCATTGATCACAGAATATCTCTTCTCATATGCCCTTTCTCAGTCTGCAAACACACAAAATGATAGAGCACTGTGACTGTATTTTATTGCAAAATACGAAAATACATCATTTCTTGGTCATAACAAAGTGTCAGAAATTTTGTGGAGATAGCACTAAGCTCCCTTACTTAGTTCATCAAAATGGGACCTAGTGGTTATTACAAATGCACAGGCAAACCTGAGTGTCCCCAAGTGAAACATAAAACCATCATGTGATTTAAACACTAAGCCCTGGGCCATGTCTTAACCAGTGTATGAACACGTTTGTTAATTTCACTTTCTCATAAATTTTGCTTACCCTTCTGTATTTAGAGGTTTTGTTTGTTTGGTTTTTTCTGTTCTCCCAAATCATATAACTTTTCAAATCAGTGTGTATATAAATCAATGGTATTGTCATACTGCAGTTATTTTTACTGTGCATCTTATTTTTTTAATATATATGTTAACTATTTCTACCATTTAGTTAAAACTTTTAACAACATTTATTTAGACATTATCTGTGTGTATATGTGTATGTGGATTCACATACACACATACTGCTCTGAGCTTTTCCCAGTTTTATTCGTTGAAACAAATATGGAACATGAGTTCTGGAGAAACATAGATAGTAGATTTTTTTGGTTCACAGTTAATTTTTTCACTTTGGGCCATCCCCAGGTACATGACATGTTAAATCAACAATATAGAATCAATTGTTGATTGTAAAAGTTCTTTGTGAAATGTAGAGTATAATACAGATGTTAGTTTTTATAGACTAAATGATTAGATATGGAATATATATTTCTTCTCCTCTGCCTATGTTGTTTAGATATCAGATGGAAAAACAAGTTCTGGGGGAAGTCCATGGAAATCCTGCCTGTTGGAACACTGAATGTCATGCTTCCAAAGTAGGTTGCTTTCATCTTCCTTTTGGTGTCTTACCTGCTTTTGAAATCAGAAATGGGTCTTTGAAACTCTAGAAGGTGCCAGTGATCCGTTTCCAAAGCTTCTGTTAACTTCTCCAAAGTTTTGAGAATGGACCCCCACAAAAGCAAATGAGCACTTCAGTGTATGTATCAAAGCTACCTGCTTCTCTCTTCATATCCTGTATTCATCAAGTCAATGCCAGCTACCTGCCTGTCCCAGGTACCATGTTAGTTTGCATTTTAGAGCAAAGGTTCTCTTTTTAGCCACTTCTTTTCTATACAATATGTATTTTCACTTTTGAATTCATGTTAGATCCAGGGACTATTTTTAATGTCTAAGTTAGTTTATTAAAGAAGAGTGATGGAATCTTTTCATGGTATTTTTCTAAAGGATATAGCCTATAAATTTTTAAAAATTAATTGAAGTTTTCATTGAGGCCAAAGGCTTGATTGTTTTTGTTTCTTTCTTCAGTTGGTTGGTGTTGTTTGGTTTTCTTTTTGTTTATTCAGTGACAGAATTTGCTGGTGGATGGGATATGAAGGAAGGTGGGGAGAGAGGAGAATTCCCAGGGCCACAAAATAGACTGTTTTTTTTTAGTTTAAATTCAATTAGCCAACATACAGTACATCATTAGTTTTTGGTGTAGTGTTCAATGATTCATTAGTTGTGTATAAATATACTTTAAATATTTGCAAACTCATGAGAAGAAAGAGTTTTCCCAGGTATGTAGAGAGCCTGCATCATACCAATTCATAAATTTTTTAGAAACTTAGAAGTGTTTTATTTTAATTTGAAATAACATTTTATTTGAAAATACAGATAATCTGCAAACTTAAAGGTGATCTGAAGCTATGTCACCTCATTCCTTGGCAGAAACTCTGTAACTTCTGTAACCCAGAATTTGCATTAGACGTGCTATCTATGATCATTAGTCTTTTCTCAAAGAATTATTCACATTTTTGGTCTTAATTCAGAGAATGAAACAATGTCCTCAGGGTAATCTTTCTTAAAGGCACATCCTATCATGCCTATCTCCTCCCTCAAATCTTTCCACGATGGCCCATTACCTGCAGTATGAATCCAGACTCATCGGAGCATTGTTGAAGGCCTTCCCTTTGCAGACTGGCCACCCACTACACCCATTCACATGTGGCGTACCCCTGGCAGGCCCCCAGATGCATCGTGCTATTCTGGCCTCTGTGGCTTTGTCAGTGTGTTTCCCTGGCCTATAGTGCCCTCCTATCCCTCCTCCAAGCTTAGACTGAATCCAGCCTTCTCCAGCAAGTCTTCCTTGATACTCCCCCCACATTCCAGGCAGATCTAAGGACTCCCCCTTCTGTGTTCTCATGACATTTCCTCATCACATTTTATTACAAGTATTTGTTGCCATGTCAGTCTACTCCTACCATACTGTTGGCTCCAAGAGAGCAAGAGACAGATCCTATTCAACTTGGTGGCTTTAGCACCTGGACTATAGAAAGCACTGAAATGCTCCTTAAATGAATGAATCATATCACGAGGGTCCTTGACTACATAGAAACTTTCAGCAATTAGAGGAAAATGAGGGAAATTAGAGGAAATTGAGGGAAAAGGAAGGAATTAGAGGAAAACGAGGGAAAAGGAAGTTTTGGCCAAAGAATATTCTCAGTCATAGAAATGGTACTATATATTTGTGACCTTCATTGTTTTTTAATCAACATTGTATTTTTCACTAGGTATGGAGATTGCTATGTATGGAATAAAGTCACCACGTGCATACACAACATTCTCAGTGGGAGGAGGTGGATAGAGCATTATGGAGAAGTAACCATTAGAAATACCAAAAGCAGTGTTTGCATTTGCAAACTCACATTTGTCAAGGTAAATGATAATCCTACAACAGTAAAGAAAAAAATAATATAAAATGCTTCGTAAAGGAGAAATATAAGTTACCTTAAACGACAGCAAGTGAGTCTGTCCCATATCATTGATCCTTGAGGACGTTTTAGATAAGAAAGCAGAACCAACTGGTGGAGTTACTCAAGGTATGCAGACTTCCGAACATGTGGAGGTCAAAAAAGGCAGCATCTCAAAACAGAAGAAATACTCTTCTTTCTAAAGATTTTCTTTTTAAGCAGCCAGTCAGTATTCATTAAGTAAAATTCCAGAAAACACTTCTTGCCTGAAGCGAGTCTTCTGGTTTCTATTTCTGTTCCTGCTTGATTGCAACAGAGTCAAGTGATCTTATTTTAGGGAGCTAATTATAATGCATTTGTCATTTCTGAGGATGCATGTGGATGATAACTTCCAGTCACTATAAGCTTATCCAACTCTGCCACTATGATGGTCCAAATTTGTTCAAGAAAAAGCATCCTCTTGATTAACAAGAAAAGATTCCTGAGATAGAATGCCTACGCAATAGCATTTTCCCTTAGTCGCTCTGGTCTAAAGTGGAATACACAGTTATCGCCCTCATGGTTAGGTGTGCTCCTGAATTCATCGTGGTACAGAAACCCCACCATCCCTTTTAATCTACTCTACTCCTGATCTCATTCTACTATGGCAGAAACAGATAACATATTGGAGTCTTAAAACTCAAAACGTTCTCTTCTTAGTGAAATCCTTTGAAGCCATACTGGAAGGTCATGTTAGTTGTAATTGAAGATCTTTAATTTACTCAAGATGTTTCTCCCATTTTCCTTTTTTTGCTTGTGGACTCATTAGGTGGCTCAGAACTGAAAGACCAGGCTCATTACTTGCTCTGGTTGGGTGATGACAGTCAATGTGTGCGTTTAGTTTTGCAGGCCATGGGAAGCTTTGATTTAGTCCTGCCCCTAATATTTGCAGAGCTCAGGGCAAAAGTACAAATGGAGACCCCATTCCATATGTGTAAATATTTAAAATTTGTAGATCAAACCTACAGTTTGTCACATGACTTACGTTCTGTTCTTTTACTTCAACAAATATTCCTTTTGTAACAAAGCCCGCGCGGCCAGGTTGGGCACTTTAGAAGTCCGAGCTGGCAACCTGGCAGTGCAGGAGAGCCAGCCCTGACTCATGGCCTTCCTGCCCTCTCCCCACCTGTGACAGCCTCTGTCCTGCCCCACAGGGGGCCTCACCCACGTGTAGGAAGGCAGTCCAGCGGAACGTCTGAGCTCTGTCCACACCTGCCTCAGACGGCCACCCCTGGCCGCCCCTCAGGCCTCATCACACCCTGGTGGTGGGCGGTCTGTCCTTTGGAAGGATGAATCCAAAGAAAGTGGAAGAAGCTTAGAGTGGTTGGGAAAGGGAATTCTAGGACCTGATCTAGAAGGGGCCATGGGATCCAGATGGGTAAATGCCCACAGACTTCTCATCTCCTAGGGAGAAGCATGGCTAGAAGAGGGCCAGAGCAGGGTTTTCCTCATGAAATTTAGCCATTTACAGGCACTATGAAAATTACTTCCCAAGTGACTTCTACAGCACGGCCCACTGAAACTCATTAAGATCCATGAGCGAAGGGGAAATTTGAGACGGGGGCATCTAAGGAAGAAATTACCAACCGGTAAGTTTATACTAGGTTATTAGGAGAGAAGCTGAGCCTTTTCTGCCCTAGTGTAGAGTAGAGCTGATCTCTCTCTTTAAAGTTAAGCCCACTAACACTTGGAAAGCCAACCTTTCATATAAAACCTTTTGAGAGAGATTTCTGGAAGTGGTTTGAATGAGCGACTTCAAATTTAAGAATGTCTTCCATTTGGAAATTGTAGGGATTAGTGTTATGAAACAGATTGGATGTTTTCATTGGGGTTTGGTTTTTGCAGGTGAATTATTGGAATTCTAATGTGAATGAGGTCCAGGGGGTCGTAATGGATCAGGAGGGGAAGGTGGTGCACCGGCTCTTCGGGAAGTGGCATGAAGGGCTCTACTGTGGCGTGGCCCCCTCTGCAAAGTGCATCTGGAGACCAGGTGAGATGGGCGTGAGCATCTTGTGTCTGGAGGGCACCTGGAGTGACAGAAGGACGGGAATGTCACATCTCATGCAGTTCACCATATGCTTTCTTTCATAGTGAGATTAAAAACATAGATGCTTAAAAAAAATTAAAAATAAAATAAAAAATAAAAACATAGATGCTTAAGTTAAGCATGGTTATATTTTTTACTTAACATACAAATGAGGTGAATCCCAACTTTTGATAATAAGGAATTATAAAATTTAGGCCAAATCTGACATGTGGTCAGAGATGAGGCTTCATGTGATGTCATTCTAAATGTAATGCCTACCTTCAAAAGCTAGGTATGTTTATTAAAGAGTTTAGGCAATTGAACTATACAAACACAAATCCTTACTCATTTAGTCTCTGTTCTAATAAAACAAGGGAAAAGTGTGCAAACATCTATAATCCACAAAGTCAATAACTTAACCAGAATAAGTGATCTTCTCACTTGAGCAGCAAAAAGCTGCAATATGTTGACATTTAATAAAAGATATCAAGAGAGTTCTGGTAATACACTAGCAATAATTAAATATCAAGGGTAAATAGAACAAGTGTCCACATGGTACTTATTTTCATTGCAATTTTGTCAGTTAAGTCCTAACTTTAAAATTAGTTGTTGGTTTTCTAAGAGACCTCAATGAGTATTTAAATTTCCTGCTGATAGAGTGGTTAGTTCATTCATTCAGCAGCTATTTCTTGAGTAATGACTATGCATCGAGCTTTACTCTAAGAGCTTGGAATACATCAATGAGCAAAGCATACAAAGATCCTGCCTTTGAGTTTAGTTAAAAAGTGCCAGTGAATATTAATTTAGATCTGCATCTTTTTCTTTTTCTAAAAGGAAGTAAATTGTGTTTCTGGTGATATCTTAATGTTCATAGTTAATCACCCTGGCATTTAGTTACCCAGTTGAATATTTGAGGAAAAAATGATGACATTGTTTACCCAGTAAAGAGTACTCTATGTACAAAGTTTTATTTTAAAGGCTGGGTTTCATTAAATATATGAATCAACCAGTTCTGATAAGTAACACAAAGTTTCCTATCTAGCCAAACACAACCAATTTAATCTGCCTAAGAAAAATCTTAATCTGATTTTTCTGACTACAAATTTAGTATTCATGTGGATATTAGTTAAGCACCTGGGTTAAGTCACCTTCTGCAGGCTTCCTTAAACCTCTCTGCCACTCACTGTGGTTTATGGGCATTATTCCAGGTTCCATGCCAACCAACTATGAGCTCTACTATGGCTTCACGAGGTTTGCTATCGAGCTCAATGAGTTAGATCCTGTCCTGAAAGATCTCCTTCCACCGACAGATGCCCGATTCCGGCCAGATCAGAGGTGAGCCTGGCAATGATGTTTGAAATGGACACTAGATCATGGCATGGCCCTACGGATGCCACCGAAGTTTATTTTCACCACCCTCATTTATTTATTCATGGAATCATTCGTGAATTCCCTCATTCCCTTATTCACTCCGCACCATTGGAGCCTTCTACCCTAGCTAAGACGGTATTCTTGGGTGATCGTAACAGATGTTTAGCTTAACAAAGTTTCCCACAGAAGATAACACAGTTCTTAACAAAAGGTCCCTGCCCCCCAACCCCAAATTCACCAGAAGTGTGCAAATTTGTGAACTCTGCTCCACTAAGACCTCCTCCAGGGTTTTCACCTCTTTACTTCTACTACTCTGTCACATGGACTATCTTTTAACCTGAAGAATAAGAAGATAAGTTACAGGAACATCTAGAAATGCTCCAAGCCAAGTCCGGAGTTTGTCCAGTGTGGTTTTGATCCCATGGGATGTGAGGTGTACTCAAAATGTAGTCCCTTTAATACCTTCTGATTCTTATTTTTTATTATTCTTATATAGTTCTGTATGCATGTTGTCCATTCTGACAGAGTTAATTTTACTTTTTCCAAAAATTCTATATGCCACACAAATTCCGCCTGAGATCATTTTCTGTTTCCAGTGTATCTGTGGCTTTATGTGTTTTCTGCCAAAAAATTCCAGTGTTGAATGTCCTACTATTCAGTCCTCTTACACTCCCCCCGCCCCCAGAACATGAGGTCTCACTGTCTGACATTCCAGTGTGTCAACAAACTTCCCATGGGCATCACATTGAATCCCTGTTCTTTGCTCTCATTTTGACATTTAAATATAGGTTTTGCAAATCCCCACTAGGTCTGCTTTTTCTTTCTCAATTCTATTCCAGTATTCCCTTCCTGAATTTCATTTATGATTCATTTCCTTTTTTGCAGCCTTTTGTAATTTCCCCCGGTGTTAGATTCTCTTTTTGTCACCAGTTTTACTCTCTTCGATAAAACAGGAAAACTCCTTCCCTCTCAGTCTGTTCTAAAAGTAGGTGGAGAACAGCCAGCTACCATCCTCCCTCTTCTGGCCTTTACCAAGTGTTTTTCCGATAATATGGAAAAGGAGCTCAACCCCGTACTTCATATTGTCCTGAGCCTGGACTCTCCCATCATCCTGAAAATCTCAAGTTACAGAACCCAAGAGAGCACAGAAGAGTCTCCAAGGCCAAACTACCCGCCTTCCACCCCTAGCTTCACATTGCTGTACACAGTAATGCAGTTGACATACACAGCAAGTATGTTATTGGTGGGCAGACAGACAGAGGTAGCATGGCCTGGGGTGGGAGCAAGGGCACATTATCAGAGTATGACTGTTCACCGTGTTATGTTCTCAGCAACTAGAAGGTAATTTTATACAAGACGAGATTATTTTTTTCCCAGCAAAGAGGATGGTGTATTAGAGGGATAACTGTGTTCTGCTTAGATTTTTGGAAGAAGGAAATTTAGAAGCTGCGGCCGCAGAGAAACAAAGAGTGGAGGAACTCCAGAGATCTCGAAGGCGCTACATGGAAGAAAACAACCTTGAACATATACCAAAATTTTTTAAGTAAGTCAGTTCATTCCTATAACAAGTTCATGTTTTGCAGATGATTGCCACCAGCCATGAGAAACTCCAGGTGTAAAGGGAAAATGAGGGATAGTTTAGTGTCCAGGGAGCTTAAAATTAAACTGATTTGGGTAACTTTGGTTTTGGTAGTGAAAGTATTGAACCAGACTTTGCACTTGTGAACAGTTTGTTACCACACAAATCAATTCTCCTCCACAGCTCTTCTTTTCGTGGGCAGCAAAAAGGGTGAGGGCCTTGCACGGAATGCTCTTTGTACTTCAGCTATACCATTGAGAATGGTAGAAACTTCTTTCCACCCCCTCAACTCAAGGCCACAGTGGGACCCCACTGCCCACAAGGTCATCCTGGCTTCAGTAGTATTTAATTTTATTTCTGTCATACGGGGCTTGTGTCATTCAGATTTGGCCCTTCTGTGGGATCATCATGGGTGATTATTACAGGATTATTTGTAGGATTATAGATACATCACACAGATGAAGCAGCTATATTTTCCAAATCCATCTGTTACCCTCCAGAGCCAGGACACATCAGCTCAGAATAACCTCATGTCCTTTCGAATTGCCATCTCGTGACTGCCCTGGGGAGGAAGGCGGCCTTGCCCTTTAGCTGTTGAAAGTGCACCCTGGGCGTGGAGCACGCAGGGCCTCATGGAGCTACTGTGGTTGCGTACCCTTCCCTGCAAGTGAAGCAGAGACTATTCTTGTGGGTCTGGGGCCTGAAGCTCTTAGTACAAAACTTGTACGTGCTCTTTTTGTTTTCCTTTTGGTAAAGATTTATTTGAGAGAGAGCATATGGGGGGAGGGGCAGAGGGAGAGAGAGCGAGAGAAAGAATCCAGAGCAGACTCCACACTGAGCGTGGAGCCCAATGCGGGGCTCCATCTCACAACCCTGAGATCACGACCTGAGTCGAAATCGGGAGTCAGCGACTGTGCCACCTAGGTGCCCTGTACCTGCTTTTTTGGGGGGCAGTTCACTTTCTAGCCTTGCCTAGAAGTGATTTATTTGTGCCCCTTTTCCCTCTCCCCATGACCCCATCCACTCCTATTTCAAATAAGCAACACAAACAAAAGGACTTTGTTTTTGGTCAAAATAGTCAAGTCAGGGGCGCCTGGGTGGCTCAGTCAGTTAAGGGACTGCCTTTGGCTCGGGTCATGATCCCAGGGTCCTGGGATCGAGTCCCGCATCAGGCTCCTTGCTCAGCGGGAAACCTGCTCCTCCCTCTGCCTGCTGTTCCCCCTGCTTGTGTGCATGCGCGCTCTCTCTCTCTCTCTCTGACAAATAAATAAAATCTTAAAAAAAATAGTCAAGTCATCAATAAGCAGATAGGACACTAACTGACTTACAAAGTACCCCTTATGCATACACATCCTGTCTACGGGAGAGGGTCCAATGACCAGGCCACCTTGACGTCATTTGTGTCTAATGTTGATTTTTGTATTTCCACAGAAAAGTCATTGATGCCAATCAAAGAGAAGCCTGGGTTTCTAATGATACTTACTGGGAGCTGCGAAAGGACCCTGGGTTTAGCAAAGTAGACAGCCCTGTTCTTTGGTAAACTGAGAATGTAGAGCTAGCCAACATATCATGCTCTGAATGAATAAATAACTATGCACAATTATGTTTCCTAGAGCTCCGCGTGGTTTCTGGGTCGACTGAAAACCGACCGTTTGCTTTTCTATTCATCTTTATAATGGACTTTCAGAAGTGCATTAGACAAGGCCCCTAACCACTTTTGGATCCTTTCTGTTTTGCTGCAACCATATCCCTTAAAAAACATCCACACCCTCCTTGAAAAGCAGAATAAAAGGAGAATATCAAATCCAAAGTCTGAAGTGTTTGTAAAGAAAACAAACTGTCACTGGTGCTTAAAGCTGATCCAGAGAGTTTAAAGCAACATGACATATAAACCACGCTTTTGGTCCTTTGTCTGGAAGCACCATCCCCGCATCTAGAAGCTCCTGTACCACGGCACTTGGTCAGCTTGGACTTCGAGTGTGTCCGTTTGATGTGGTGTACTTGTGCTGACCTTGTCAAAAAAGATGTGATACGCCTCAGAACCCTGTTCCATCTGTACGCCATTGTTCATGCCTTAAGAAATGCAAAGATGTACAATAAATCATTTTTTAAATGTGTGCTCATAGGTTTATGTGAGGGACAGCTCTTTTGAATCACGGCATGATTCACTTTCTGGGCTCAGAACAATTATGAGACTAACGTAAGTGGATTTTAAGAAGGTAAACTACACACGCTTTACTTTGATATGCTGGTGACTGTCTCCTCTCTCTGAAGGGCAAGAAGGAAAAGGTGTGCTCAGTAGATCTCTGTATTCACATTGCTCGTCAAGTTCCTGTCCTGCGCCCAGATAATAAACCCTCTTCCGCCTAATCTCACAGTGTGCCCTATTCTTTGGCAATATCTGTATTTGATTTGAACACTTGGCATCAGTGTTAAAACCGTAGACGGAAATAACAGAAAGCATGTGGAATGTCTGCGTGGGCTTAGGAGTCACTGTAAACGGAACTATTTCTGAGTGGAGCACAATGTAACCCGCATCTCTGTCCTGGGCCCCGGCCGTGGGCACTCGCGGAAACCCTCTGGGAACAGAAGCGAGACTACTAGTAGCTTATTTGCATTGTTTAAATGAGTTCTATGCAAAATCATATTTTATATTTTCATCAAGTGATTCTGTATGATACGTAACGACGTATTAGGCATTTGCCTTGCTATTGGCAGAGGTAATAAAATAAGCTAAGGAATTTATCCATCCCAACAAAAGCAGGGGGGAGGGGCAGAAATACGCTTTGCATACTTCAGGATTTGTTTTTTCTTCCAATATACAGAGGCTTTTGTAAGAAACTTGCATCAGTGTTTCTGAGTTTCTAATTTTAGTATATGTGCTGCCGAAGCGAGCACAGTGTTCCTGAGTTTCTGCACGTAGATGACTATATAAATGCCTGTATGTTTAAAAAAAAAAATCTCTTCAGAGTTTTTCCTAGAGAATTATAAAAATACATATATTTTATTCTTAGAGTCTTACCATCAGATTTTAAGTGCTATTTTAAACTCTGATAACAAGGTTATTGGCATTTACATTTTGTTATGAGCTGTTGATTTTAGTGTTCTTTCTCCTCAGCCAGGCGTTCCTAATAGCCAACCCACTCTCAAACCCCAGCTGCCGCGGAGAGCGGAAGGGAAAACTCTGGAGTCTCCACTAGGTGGAGCAGTGTGTTCTGAAACTCATCCCCCTCCTTGTATCTGAGGCCCTACGTTATGTGTACCGTAGGGTTTAAAGTGGAATTTCCTTTTCAAAAGTAAGCTCCCTAATCCATCCCCAGATGTAAGCATTCCACTGGAGCAACAGCCTCCCTAGGATTCTCAATGCCTTTAATTCCCATTTTAAATCTGTAGGTGGCTTGCCTCGAGGTAGTAAAATTATTTACTTGTTACTGATCTTTTTCTGTGCATTCGTCATCTTTTTATCTGCATCCTGAGATACATGCCTTTAATTTTAATTAGAATTTAATTAGAATTCAGTTGTCTTCCCCACAGAAGTCTGTTCTCCCACAGTCGGTAAAGCTTTAAATACTATTTAAAGGGGTTCTGGTCTGTACTTACTAGCACTTCCCAGAACAGTCTCAAAATATGTAGCCTAAAAATAAGAAGAGAATTCTGCAAAGCAAAGGTACTCGAACAGAGAAGCGGGAAGGTGAGGCATTAGGTGACCATGGGTGTATCAGTCAGACAGCTGAAAGAGGACCCAGGGCCCATCAGGGAAGCAACTACCATACCTGGCATTCGGGCTGAAATTGAGAAAAAGAGTAACTACTAGAAAGGACCTTCGCTAGATAAGTTCAAGCTACAAATCAAGTAGGTAAATGTTGGTCAGAGCTAACCTGAAACTCTGATTAGGATTTCAAGATGAGAATGAGAAGAATGTCACATTAATGAAAAGCACCACATTTAAAAATATCCCAGATTTAGAATCTCTTTTGAGATCCAGATATCCTGATTAGACTCCTAATTCAAGCCTTCAATTAAGTTTTAGATAATATTCCTATAATACCTGATTCACAAATCTCCCTATTAAGTATTCGTGCCCATGTAATGGTCTCATCCCTTGCCACCCACCCCCTGCCCCACCCCCCTTTCTTTTAACTTTTGATTGATACCACGGTTTTAGAATAGTGAGACTTACTCTGTTTGGGATTTTCATCCGCATAATTTGGGGGCTTTTGAGACTAGTTTAAACAGCAAAAGAATAGAATAAATATTAAATCATTCCTGATAAAACCTGACTTATTTCTTAGAATTTTATGTGAGCCTCTTTGTTTCAAGGGTACTTTTCTTATTTGTCTTTCCCCTCAAACAATCTAAACTAGAGGAAGACTTAATATGTCTTCATACCTCCCCCGTGATTTATTCATCAACTCCTTCATCTTTCTGAGCTGGTCACTAAGGAAAGCAGTAATAAGTGATGATGGTCTTGTGGACGTGGCTGGACTGAGCAGGTCGACGGCCCCCACCAGCACTCACAGAGGCCGACCAGGAACTAATTGTTTTGTTTCCATATGCTGCCACACACGGTGCAGATTTACTCTCAGATTTTGCTGTTATTGTTTTGGTTTGTTTTTAATTAAGTCATTATTTTTCATGTGTTACTTACAAGTACCCCATAATTTCCAGGCAGTTGTAAAAATAAACCTCATTTAAGATACCTTTTAATATTGCCTATCAATTACATGTGACATAAAAACTACCAAATGTATTTTCCGAGGAAGAGAAACCAAGGGGCTGTCAATACAAAGGATGCCAGGTTGCTGATTTTCCAAACTTTTGCTCCTCTTCCATCATTCTGGTCCCGGTGCCTTTCAGCAATCCCACTAACCAACCAATCGTTAGGGATTAAAGAGGAACCTGATCAATGGTTTGCTTAGTGGCTGGAGAAGACTTTATAATCATAATCTAATGTATAAGTTTGTTATTACAAAAATTAATTATCCATCTTGTCTAATCTTGTTCCCTGTCATCCTAGATAATGAAGTGTTTGGGGGAGCAGAGCTCCTCACACACCAGGGGGTGTAATAAATGTTTGCACTTGGCTCAAGTCATTATAGTATGAATGTGGCACAGTAAATAAAGTTTGTGTACAAAATACCAGTTTATTTCTATGGGAGCCATTATGTTCAGGATATATATAATGTATCTAATTAAACAATTATGCATCTATCTTGTGCTTTAGAAATGTTCTTTTGGGGGAAAGACGGAAAAAAATGTAACTGGAGCTAAGATTAAAGTGTTTTTGGTTTTGTTGGGGTTTTTTTTTTTTTTGTTTTCAAAAAACTTCCCAATCATTTGGAAATACCGCTTATCAAAACATGATCAAACCCTCTAGGTTTTAACCGAACTTCTTTTGTAAAATTGATACATTTAAAGCATACATTGCATGAATCATTCTGTTAAGCCTAACTTTGTTTAGGTTTAACACATGACTATGAGAACACACCTTACATAGGTTCTTTGGGGAAGACAACTGAGAACGCACCTATGTGACTGAATTGTAAGACCCTCATTGCAGCCTTTGCTGTTAGAGAAAATGGTAAATTGCTTAAGAAGGGGTTAGCTTTAATTCTTTCAAAATGAGATCTAAAGACAGAATTCTTTAAAAATTTTTGTGATGAAGCCGCATGCCCAACATTCGGAGCAAATGAAGCCCCATGATTACATGGGGCAGTTTCCTGTCTGTTACATGCATCCTTTTGTTTTCCAAAACCACCATCATTTTTCTCCTTTCTCTGGTCCTAACATAGCGAGGGGCAGGGATACACATGTCTATTCTTTTGCACTGTGTCATTGAGTATGGGGAAAATATGCAGTATTTATGCACAGTTGCAGGGAACCCCTGCATTTAGCCTCTGTGGGACACTATTAAATGTTCATGGATTTAAAATTGCCCCCTAATTACATATTATTCATTTCCTTGGTTTCTTCAGATTGGTAGGAAAAAAAACATAAAACAAGAATTTCTTAGTTTCTGCAATTTTTTTCCCATTACGCTTCCTTCTAAATATAAATTTAGGGCAATAGTGATAAAAGGAATCTAAAGTTTTCAGAAAATAAGGTATAATTCTATTTTAGTCTGCCTGTTTCTTCTTACTTTAAATTAATAAGGTAAGCGACAATTTAATACTGTTAAACAGAAGAATGCTAAAACTATTACTTCTTTTATCTTAGGCACCAACTTCCCCACACACCCTATTTATCATCATCCAGTTATTCCTTTAGGAAACGATGTAGTTGCTAGAAACTTTTTTCAGTCATTTCCAGCTTACTGAGATAGAGCTGGCATAAACTTTACATATATGAATGAGTAATTTGATACATTTTGACATATATGTACACTCTTGACACCATCACAACAATCACAATAATGAAATCCATCACCACCAAACATTTCCTCTGCCCCTTTATCATCCCTCCCCTGCCCCCTCCCATCTGCCACTCCGAGGCAATCATTGATCTGCTTTCATTACTTCTTAAAAATCTGCATATTTTCTTATATTTATTGCATATGGGGTTTTTCTAGAAGACTGTGTGCATGTGGTAGACCTGTGCCCCCAAACGCCTCCTGAGCCACTACCCCGGTGTCCACCATCAATACTAACACGTTACAAGAGAATCTCATTAAGTTCTAGGTCTGGTAGCCCAGTAGAATTTTTAGATTTTAAATAGGAGACAATAAACCATTTTTCAGATCAAAATGGCCGTGTAAGTTAATGAATTCATTTCCATCTTTGCGGTGGTGGGGGGGGCGGGTATCCAAAATAATGGTAACGATGAACTTGTTGGCAGTGCTGTGGAAACCCCGGGAAGGGTTTTCCTCTTGTTTGTAAGGAACGCCGTGAGAATCCAGAACGACTGCTCTCGAAATGATGGTGTCTTGATAATGATGACGAAGGAAGTAGGCTTTGCTGGTTTCTTTATTATTTGCCAACCCTAACCCCCCTTTTGGGTTACAAACATTTGAAACCTCCAGGGCTCCAAAAAGGCTGCTTTTCCATCTTTCCTATTGCACTCACTCCTCATCTGGAAATCAAGTAAGCCTAACTTTCAGAAAGAAATGGAAATGAACTAGCTGCGGTCCAGGGAGCTTCCCACCATTGGCCGCTGTGCAAGTTGAAAGCTTATTCCTTCTTTCCTGCCTCGCAAAGCCTGTCGCTCAAAAGTAGAAAACTTTTCCAGAGACTGTCAAATACAGCATGATTGACATTAAATGCTAATGAAGAAAAAAGTCAAGAATGGGTAAAAGAGAAATGGAATCTGAGGAAGAAATGTAGGCTCCCTAAGTGGGGCGAGGGTCATGCTCCTTGGGGGCACATGGATGGATCCCAGGGGGCCGAGTTATTGCCTCGGATGTGTATTTACAGGCAAATTTCTGAGCTTCCCTCTGAAGATTCTGAGTACCTAGATCTAGGGTGTGGACCAAGAATCTGCATTTTACCAAGAACACTTGGCCCCCAAGAAATTTTGAGGCAGATGGGAAACTGCCATGAGCATGGGCTGGCCCAACCGCCCACTCCCTGCTCCCTGCTCCAATCTCAGGATTTTGTTTTTTGTTGTCTCATAGCGACATTTAGGAGTCAACAAGAAAGTCTACTTCAAAGCATAAAAACTGACTAGAGCCTGGTGACTTGTGACTCACCCTGTCACGCGTGGCTTCTTGTCACTTTGATGACTTCTGTCCCAAGGCCAGTGCTGTGATATGGAGGTGAAGAGAAGGGAGGACAGAACTCTGAAACCTGAAAGATGAGATTGCGTTAACCAGAGACCGTAAAAGTCTGTTCTGGGGGAATTCTAACCAGCCCAGATACACAGAACTTCTTAGAACTCTTCAAAGCCATGGATCAACCTCTCCTGCCTCACCTTCCATTCCCACTTAGATCTGGTTCATGCCTCCAAGGGAAGTTTTAAAATTGGGCTGAGGAGGGCCTCCTGGCTTGTGGAAGCCCACAGGGAAATTCCGTGGCAAAGCGCGCTCTTGGTAACCTGACAGATTTTCATAACGAGGTATAGCAGCAAATTCTTTATCCACATCAGCTTTTTCCCTGAAAATACTATATTTTTAAAATTTTTGTTTGAAAAAACTCCACTGTGAAATTATTCTGCTTATAATTGAACGTATAAAGGCAATAGTCATACTGTTAGTTTGCATATGGTCATTTTGAGATAGAAAAATTCAATTTTATCTTATATTAGGAGTAGAATTTCAAGCAACTTTCTACAGAAAAAAAATAGCTTGTAGTTAAACTTCCTACTAAAAGAGTAATTATTCACTGAAAAATATTGTCTAATCTGTGCCACCTCAAAATAAGAATTGTGCCTCTTCAATGAATGTTGTGTACCAGAATGTTACATTTGTAAGAGCACAGAAAACTCAATAAATTTTAAACTACATAAGGAGGCTTGAGTTTTGTGTGTAGTGTGTTCTAATGACCTGTCCACAAAATGAGTAAATATTTGTATCTCCAGCAAGAGACTTGAAGTTGGATTTAAAGAAAATTGAATACTTACATTGACTACATTTCCAGCTCCTTTTTTCATGTAGTAACAATGCAAAACCTGTTTTCAAATCAAATACTAGGAGCTAGAATGGTTCAAATTCTCCCTGAATTTTGAACTTATTTATATGAAGGCTTAGGAAGCTGGTTTCAGTTTTCTATTTTGTTTCTAGATTATAGGAGTAAAATTATATGTAGTTCTTAAAAGCTACAGGAAACTCAAGCCATCATAGATGAGTTTTTCCATTGCTGGGCTCTTGGGAAAGCCCCTAGGGATTGGGTTTTCCTCGTCCAATAGTCCTCCCTCAGAAAGAGACTATTCATAGGGAGTATTTTCTGTCACTGAGGAAAACCCTTTCAATAAAATAGTGACAGTGCATTTTGTTTTTAATCTTCGTACACATTATAAGCAGAAGATTTATCAGTCTTGACCTCCAAGTCTCTAGTTTCTTATAAAGAGGTAGAGGAAGAAGTATTTTCAGAGGAAATGTCAAAGCAATATACCAAACCTTTGGTCACTAGAATCCCCAAATCAGTTTCCTCTACAAATATTGGCAGTTGGCCTATTTCAATCCTGCTGGAATATGTTAAGCACATAGGCCCCTTCAACAGCCCAGTTCACTGTGGAGCATTCATGGGGGGGGGGTGCCTCATCCCGACGCTGTCCAACCACGGAGATGTGAGGGTCTGGTCACAACACCTCCTGGGATGGGGGTCCCAGGATTATAGAGAGAAACATCCATTTGGGTGGCAGGAGCGCACAAAGAAATCTTCCCTCCTTGCGTCCTTTTCTGCGTACACACCAGAAGTTCTTAGAGAGATAGAGGGAGGGAGGAAGAGAGGGAGAGACATACTGAGAAAATAAGAACTCCAGATGCCAAAGATATGCCCCTCTCCTTGCTGTATGGAATAGAAAGCAAATGGAAAATAAGTAGCAAAGAGACACAGTAGATGAGACTTTTATTTGCGTAGTTTGTGATTATAGAATCATGGTTGCCATGTCACTTCCCTGGTCCAAGGATGAAATCACGCCAGAGAATGAACCTCTTCTGAGGACACATAGCCCCAGTTACATGACACTACTGTGGGTTTGTAGGTAGTGATTTCTTGGTTTCATTTTAGCTTCCTGGGTACAAAATGTGGATGCACACTGAGATAAATACAGATGAGCTCCTAACTAGGCAGCAACACGGTATCTGATTATACGGGAGGCTGGCAGGGCAGGGAGCACCCCCAGCATGACTTTCTCAGTCAGTAACGTTCAGGTTTGTAGTCTCAGCCCTGAGAGTTCAAACTCATTTTCTAAATTCCTCACAAATTTGCCAGACAGAGTTAATGATATTTAATGGAACATTCTAAACTTATTTTGTTCAGAAAAAGATGTTTTTCCGCAGGCAGCCTAGCTCAACTGATGAAAATGCCTAAAGCTAGCATGGTTAGAACCCCTCAGATTGTTCATTATTCATTTAGATGTTTATTTTTACTTTGTTAGCATTTGGGACAGATCCTGATGACAAATCTATGTGGGTGGTATTATCCATGCTTTAACATTGACAGTTCTGGGAGAGCTTGTCTCTCCAATGCGCCATCTCACGTGATGCTGCCTTCCCAACAGATATGGGGAACCTCAAGAAAGAAATTTTCTTTTTTCTAGCCAGTGGGAAATTTGCA